CCCCCCCATTTGACGTTGGATTTTACTGAAAGAGAGCCTTTGTAGTGCTCCTAGGGTCTCCCAGCCCACCGTTTTGTCGCGCTATCGCGTTGCTTTGAATCGGCCTGCTGGTTCGGTCACAACACAAACGTATTCGGGGAGTTCGAGGGAGGGCGGGCAAAGAATAGCCGAGGGAGGAAGAGATGCTTGTATGCAGCAGCACCGCGCGGGCGGTGGGATATGTCTATTGATTGTCTGTCTGGTCCATTTTTCTTCGTCTCGAGGAAGGCGCAAAGGTGTCGGTGTTTTTCGATGTGACGTTCGTTCGCACCCGACTAGATCCGGAGACGAGCTTGTGGTGTTTTGTAGCAGAGTTCGGAGACACTTCGTACTTCCAGGTTTGCGCTGTTGCTAGCATGCCTTCGATTGTTTTGTATAGGAATGCCGAGGGTGCGCGATACATTGCTCACGCTCGAGAGCTAACGCCTGTCTAAAGCCACAGGCACGGCATTTTTTTTATTTGTTGGCATGCTGCTGGGGAGGAGGAACAGCAGTTTTGACCCGCGGTTGTTCTGGGTGGTGATTGCAGACGAAGAGTGGCACGGAAGGAAAGGGAAATAGTCACCCTTTGTTTCGCATCGATTGTGTCAGATCCGCACCCGTATGTAATGGTTTGGAGTGTTTGAAATGACCAAGAGTAGGTTTGTTGGGTTATTCACCAGCTCCGAGCCCGCTCGCGGGAGAAAAGAAGGGGTGGAAGAGGGGAGCAGTTTCCGGTACAATACGGTACCTACCTTGTATAGGCGCAATCGTAGTGCCCGTGCTTTCTGCACCCGGGTCGGGGGTGGAAGTGTTTGGTGTATCTACTCGTTCTCTACAAAAGTGAGGTGATGCACAACTTAATAACGGTAGTCGCTGGGACCTCAAGTCGAGCTAGCTGACTGGTGGCCGGCTGTGGGTGGATAAAAAAGGAATGACCCCTTAACGTCAAGGTAGGGAACGTGCGATTGGTTGTGTTGTCTGGAATCTGATTTTTTGCCCGACGGTAACAAACCTGTCTGGGCGCACTACGATTAGTCTAGATCTCGTCCTGTTCATGTCTTCGACATCGTACTTTGGTAAATTGCTGGCGGAAGAACTGCTGCTGCTGTATGTGATGGTAAGGAACCGTTGCATGCAATGGCTCCTATTCAAAGACGTCAAGTACGTGCAGCAGCAACCAGACAACAGGCAAGATCGAACTTCACCTGCCCTCCCAAAATCAGTTTGTAGTGCACTTTGTGTTTCGAATGCCGATCGATCGATATGGATCGGATGTGACAACATCAATCCCTTTCTCTGTTGTATGCCTTGTGCTGTCGTGTACCCTCCTCTCGTCTGAGTTATCCGACAAAGAAAACAAGCAAGTGAAAACAAGCTACCCTTTTTTAGTTGTTGCACAACGAGTCGTTCATTCGTGCCCGAAAGGTATACGGAGCAAGGTAGATATAAACAATGCTCCCAGATGTCTACTTAGAAGTGCATGCAGCTTTTCTATCCGATGAAAAAACGAAGGACTCGGGACGCGGAGGGGTCCTGCTGCGCATCTCCTTGAGCGAAGGGCGGCGGCGGCTGCTGGTGCTGCTGCCAGCTGGCCGAGTGGTGCTGTGCGGCGCCCGGGGCGAAGGGCGGCGGCTGCTGCTGCCC